TCGTTTCTTGTTGACAACTTTCGAACTAGTTTTAACAAAATTTGCTCCAATTTAAACAATAGATTTCCTTTCAGTATTTCTTTTGCCTTCCTTTATTCTCAATCGGACTATCAATTCCTCCAAATTCATCTCTTTGCATTTGTGTTTGAGATAGTTCTTGAAATCTCTCCACATAAGAGAGAGTTTCTCAATGATGACAGCAACTTGGAAGGACTCATCCAATTCCATCTTTTTATCATGTATGTCATATAAGAGAACTTGAAGTTCTTGCACTTGTCTTATCAAAATTTTGGAGTCTACCATTTGTAGTCTAAAAACTTGCCAACAATGAACTTCTTTCTTCCGGCATCCTCGGTCTTGTACTTCTTTTCCAATGAATCTCATAGATTCTTGATCGAGTTCATTGAACTATACACTCCATAAAGTGTATTGTCCAATCCATTTAGATTGTAATTTTTGTAAAGGAAATCCGAATGCTTCCACACATCTAATGCAATAATCGCCTAACGATTATTATCTCCTTTTTGTACAAAATGAATGTCCAATCCATTTAGAATGTAATTTTTGCAAAGAAAATCTGAATGCTTTCATGCATCTAATACAATAATCGATTCACGATTATTTTCTCCTTCTTGTACAATAGGAGCCCTTTTTTTTTTCAAAATTTTGCTAAATTCAAAGAAGTAAGATAGAACAATATCTTCTGTTGCCATCTTTTAAAATCCACACCTCCAAACTTTTCCGATTTTTCCTCATATAGGATGTGAGAGTTTGATATAAGTATGGCCAAAGGTAGAATCACATGGTTCATACCATTTGTTGTTTGACTTGAAGTAGCCTCAACATGATTCATTTCTATTATAAACCGAAGTTCAATGTATAGAAATATAGAAAGAAATGAATATCATACAAATGTTTATTCCAAAGATAAAAAAATGATATAACAACAAAAAACGAGTACTGTCTTAAGATTGTTGGTGGATGTGCGGTAGAAAATGTAAATGGTTGTTTAAAACAAGGAATTATACTAGTTTAATTCGTAGGAGCGTAATTAAACTTCAAAGAAAGAAAGTAAGAAGAAGAAGAAAACAAAAGGAAAACGAAATCCGAGGCAAGTGAAAACACTTTCTCCTTAAAATAATATTGCCCCGCAACAGTGCTAACAGACTACGACATTTGTCTCTCAAGATATAATGGATACAACTTGTTGTAGAAGTACTTCAAATCACAAGCAACAACGAACTTAGAAGAAAGTTTTCTTTCTACACGAAAAAATGATTTTAGAATGACGTTTGGAGAGTATTTTGTAAGAGTTTTTGGTATTATGCTCAATGCAAATAATATGAGATGCATAGTGGACGTTCAAAGGGTCCTTTATATAGAAGAGGAAAGGTTGTAAGTAAAATGCCGTACCCTAAACTCAACAATCTTTGCCAAAGGTCGCAATATTTATTGTCGCCAGCCTGTCGCTGACTTCTCGCTCGAGCAACAATGACACATTTTCATTAGAATTTCTCTCGCTAACCTGTCGCTCGAGCGACAATCCCATCGCTTGAACGATAAGCGAGCGATAGGGATAATCATTTTCTAACCAGTGTATCCTATTTTTTATGCAACTTCGGACCGCAATTTCTCATTCATCCGAAATTGGTTTGGAAATTCCAAATATACCACGACGATCTACTGACGAGTAGAACAAATAAATCTATTTATATTCATAATTTGACTATTGAATCAAATTCAAATATTTGATCAAAATTGACACAAAAGTCACTTTCACATACTTAATTTCATTCTCTAAACCAAATTCCAATAAAACATCCTAATTTATATTGTTATTTTCGAAAGAATTACAAGAATCCTACACTTGTTCAAATTAAAACAAGTTTTGACTCCCAATAAAACGATATTTTTGTAATCTTAGTGTATGTTGCACAAAGTGATATTGAAATTTTAGGTAGCATGAAAACTTTTAACTAGTTATTCCTTCTGACAATACTAGTGACACTGCATACATAAATACCTGAATTCTTTTGTTCTACATGGCATTTAGCGCTATTACGACCTTGCACTTATCCTTTAAATGAAATTTTAAAAACGAAACTCCAACTTTCTATTAAGGTGGCACCACCTCGAAGTTAATATAGATGAAATTCTTGAAGTATTTTTGTTACATTTAGAGCTTCTCATTGAAAATGTAGTTGAAAAGTACCTCCATGTTTGCAAGAATGGAATGAAACTTAAATTCGAAATATCCAACTATTCATCAAACTTACACACAACTTATGGTAATCTTACTGTAAGAGGGAGGTAAACCCTCAATATAGGAAAATAAGTATAGACAAGGATTTTCAAAACGTGACTAGACCCTGTTTGACAATTATTATGCCCCCGTTTGTTTCATATTTTTTTGTACATGAAAATGAAAATTTTGACCATCTTTTTTCAAAGAGTGGGTCCACACTATGAGACAAAGTAGTCAAAGATTGCGGTTGATCCATTTTGCAATGGTAAAAATTCTTATAATAATGTGAAACAAACATGGGCTATTTGAGAAAAATAATATTTTGAATAATGATTTTCAGGAGAATGTGTGATTAAAAAAATATGAATTTTTTTTTGAATTTACATGCATGATATTTTATTGTATGAATGAATGATTGAAAATGAGTATATAGAAGAAAGAAATTTAAAATAATTATTGTCAAACAGGATATATAGAGAAAATTTGAAGTGTTAAAATTAGAGTATAGCTAGTTTTAAAGCCCCNTAATGGTGGTAGATGACCGATTGATCCGATCATTTTTTTACAATGGTCTTTGACCAAATTTAAGTTAAAAATAATAATTTTTTTTAAAAAAAATGACAATACCCATTTTACCTCCATTTTGAACGTTGAGAATTTGAGAATCTTACAATTTCTTGTTCTTCAATGTTTATTCATCTTCTCCATCTCCATCTCCTCTCCATTGCCATTCTTCAAGGTTTTTCATCCATTTCCATCTCCATATTCAAGGTTTCTCCATTTTTTTACTTAGAATATTGATGGATAAAGTGTTTTTAACTTTAATATTTAAAGATTTAAACAAAAAATTCTTTTATTATATTGAAGAAATTCAAATTTGTGAAGAAATCACATCAAACTTGTTAACGAGGTTTGAGGGGTTCGGATGGTTTGGGGTCCGAATGGTCCATGGTTCGAGAATTCGGGGTCGGAGTGGTCTGGATGGTCTAGGATTCAGGGGGAGAAATCCTACTTTTTAATTTTGAAATGAAGAGTATATTTGTTTTTTAACATTAAAAAGGTTATTTTGATAAATAATTATTAAGTTGGACTAATGTGTTGAATAGGATATGGGAAAATTACATAAATCTAGGTGTTTAAACTTCAAAGTGCAAAAATTAGGTGTGAAGATTTTTTAATCAAAATTCAGGTATTGAATTAATAATTAAATATTATACCCATCCAATCTCTAATTTTATTTCATTTCTCTCCCTTCAATTCTCTTTCTCTTTTCACACTTTGTTTCTCTCCCTTCTCTCTCTTCGGCAACCAGCGAACGCAGCTTCATCTCCCTCTTCTAAACTCTGACCTGAATATAAATCAGGCGACGTGTGTTTAGATGCGGCCTTCGACTCCACTGCTCTAGTGTGCACATTCGTTACATCAGTCATGACAGACTCTTTCACAATACTGACTGAGACGCGATTAACCAACTTCTCAATGGAAGAATCTGCAAGTTTGGCGTGTTGCTGCTTCATAATCGTGTCTTTGTGGCACTTGGAGCACATATTCATGGTTGCCGCAGTTCCAAAGAAGCCGCAGTTGTTGATGCAAAGAATGGGGCGTTCTGGCGCTTGGTAGCTAGTCTATTTCGAAGACTCCATATTACAAAAATTATGTCATTCACCAGAATACATAATAGAAAATATATGTGAAAAGATAAAACAAGTAAATAGCATGGCGGTTGTTTCATATAGTCGAAGTTCGCACCATCGTCATTTCTCCTTTTTATCCCTCTTCTACATCTGTTTCTAATTGGTATGGTGGTTGGCGATGGTGCGATGGTTTGGGGATTTTACGCACGGTGGTTGGGTTGTTTCAGTGGGTGTGGTAATGTCGGAAGAAATCTCCAATTTTAGCGAGCGGTGGTTGATTGAAGTTGCAGGCGAAGGTGGTGTGTGGTGTTGGAGCAAGCGTTTGTGGGGGGTGGTGGCAGCAATGTGTGTAATAGTTATGGCGTCCTTTCCAGCGGTGGTGGTGGTGCGTTTCTGTGTTGGTGGTGGTGGTCGAATAGTGTTTGTGACCAATTAATTAATTAATTAATTTGTGATCAAGTATTGGTGGTGAATTGGAATCGAGGTGGGATGTTTGGTTTGTGTGACCAACTGTTTGGTTTATTGTGACTAACCATTAAATTGTAACCTTAAAATTCGATAATTTGTAACTAAAAATAATTTGTGTTCAATAAATTTGAAAATATGTGATCGATAAATAAATTGTGATCTATAATTTTTTTGATATGTGACCAATGAAATAAACTGTGACGTATACCAATAAATAAATTGTGACATATAATTATGTAAATGTGACCATTAATTGTATAATTATGAATTTATTATATTTAAATAATAATTATTTTTAATCAATTAATTAAATATCTGAGTTTTGCATTTTTTAAACTTAATACCTTATTTTTACAATTGTGAAACTTAAGGCTGATTTGTGAATTCTTCCGATAGGATATTTGACACTGGCCATTTAAAAAGAATAATGTTATTCATTTTTAGTGGGGATGAAAATATAGTATATGTGACTTTAAATGATAGGTTAAATGAAAGACGTATCATTTAATACCAATGCCACTTAAACTATATTTTCATCCCATGAATAGCATTGCTCTTTGAAAAACGCAGCCCCCGCCCCCTTATCATCAAGATTTTACTCACTGTTTCTTGCGGAGAAAGAAGAGAATAGAAAGTTAGAGAGAGGGAGAGAGATGGATCCCAAATTCACAGAGGTGTCCCAAATATTCCAGCTATTCAAAGCGGCGTTTGTACGGAAGGATTTTGATACTTGCATAAAACTTCTCTCTCAGCTCAAGGTACAATTTTGTTCGCTCAAAACCCTTCATTTTTTTAATGATTTTTCAAGGTTCGCTGAAATTGAACACTTTTATTGTTTCCCCAACTTTATCATGATGTATCTGTTTTACAGGATACAGAAATAATCGGGTTTTGTCTCACTAATGATAATAATAGCTGTTCAGTTAAATCAATTGTAAGGAGTATGTCATGGAGTTGGATCCGAGGGATTTTGTATGGCCTGATTAATTTTGTAATTTTTTCTTTGAACATTTAATGGTAGAATAATAGAAATAGGGCAGTTTAAAGTGATAGGAATTTTGTGGGGAAAATGTGGGCCCTGGGTTAATGAAGATAGTACTATTTCATGGCTTTACAAGTTTGGGAAATTAGACAGCATTTATTATGGAAAGAAATGTTCTGACGGGAAAATGAGGTTTCACGAATTTCTTGGTCAATGGCGTAGGAGCAGGTCCAGTCGATTAGAGTTCTACCGCAAGAAACCTAAAAAAATGAGTTTTTGTGGTGTAGAATGTCTTCCTTTGGGTTAGGAACAGGTCCAGTCAATTAGAGTTCTAACTCAAGAAAGCTAACAAAATGCGTTTTTATGATGTAGAATGTCTTCCTTTGGGTTTATGAATCTTCCAAAGGTTCTATGAGAAATGCGGGGACAAAGGAGTGGAGGTTCAGCAACAGCAAGTTTACCTTTTTCCTGTTTGTTCTATTATAAATGAGGAAAGAGAAAAAGGAAGCAGTATCAAGCAATCAAAATTATGGGAAACACATTAGGATATTTTTTCTCATTTGTCAGAAAGAAGTTACAAATATTTTCTTCAAAGAAGAAAATGAGTGGATTTTTATGTTAGTTTCAAACAAAGTTTAAAAAAGCGAGATAAGGTAGGTTTTAATATCTAGAAAATTTCCAAAGCTGATGTATAGTTGATTAATAAATAATAAAGAAATTAATGGATTTCAAAAGCATGTCAACCAATGAAATTTGTTGGGTTTAGAAAGTGGGGCAAGGTCATTAAATAGAAGCTCATACCTCTTATAGTTTGAGACATGACATTGAGGTTTATGTCATAGTCAATACATGCGTAAGCCACATTGAACCCATTAAATGTTTGCACTTTAGTGCTAATTCTAAGCACCTCAATATTGCCTTGTTCAAACCATGGTTTGAACTCAATGAGTTCCTTGATAACTCTTGAAGCAAAGGAGGCTATAAAGGGGGTAATATGGAGAAAATAAATAGATTGAGGTGAATTTTTGTTGATGTATTGAGTATAAAAGTGTACATGTGAAGTAATCTTTTATGTTTGAAGAATGAGGAAGAGGATTATAAAATGTAGTGATATAAAGCTTGTAAATCGTACAATAAAATAATGGAACAGGGTGATTGAGTATGGATTATTAGTTTTGCATTATGCCAAGGAGAGATACAAGGAAAATCTCATTGGAAGAAAGATATAGAGAGAGAAAATTTTGTTGTATTTTTTTTTTAGGAAAGTTGTGTGCATGGTTTAGAAAGGCAACATTGATGTGCGAACATTTAATGGGTTTCATGAGGTTTAAGCCTCAATTGATTGAGACGTAAGCTTCATTTCAAATGCCTCAAACAATGAGAGGCTTGTGCCTCTGTTTAATGACGTGGGCCCCACTTTTTATTTAAACGTTACAAATTGTATTGGTTCACCTGCATTGGAAATCCACTAATTTCTTTAATTATTTATAAATCAACTTTGAAAATCTATTATACATTAAAACCTACCCTATTTTTTTATTGTTTATTAATCAACGATAAATTATTATTCCAAAAACAGCACACACTCTAGAATTAAAGTACATCAGGGATGATGTAGAACTCTGGGGACGACAATGAATTATTTTTGTATTATTATTATTGTTTTTTTTTTTTGGGTGAGTAAGCATCACCTCAAAAAGGAAAGTGACTCGGTGCCCGATTTCGCCATTTCTGAGCAATGGGTATGTAGATAACAGATATGGTGCTTGACTAAGAAAATGAATTTCTATTGAAAATGATATGTGTAATGGAGCATTTACGAGTGGAATATCTGATGGGGGAATATGGATGGCAAAAAAATCCGTTCAACCCGAAATCTAGGGTTACCCGCCTAATCGGGTATCATTGCCCCGAAGTGGGTACGAGAATCATAAGTATGGCGCGGGAATGAGAATTATAGTCCCCGTTCCGCTACCCGTCTCATTTAAAGTTAATTTTAAATTTAAGTTTTTTATCAAACAAAAATAATAGATTTATCATATTTTTAAAGAGAACATAAGTTGTTTCTAACAAATTGGTAAAAATGTAATAATATTTACTAAGTAAAAACATAAAAAATTTAAATAAAAACTAAAAAGAAAAGATAAATGAGGCAGGTCCCCCGCCCCGCCCTTTCCTGTCCTGTCCTGCTTTAAATGGGTATGGGGATGAGGTAAGGTAACAAAAGTATCTGATGAGATGGGAGTGGGAATGGTCGACCCGTCCCATACTCGCCTCGTTGTCATCCCTATGGGGGAAGTAGTAGGATTTTTTTTTGCATTAATCATTATCCGAATGATTTAGTTAAGCTTGCAAGACATGTTTCCTTGATTTTACTATTGACAAGACTGGCACAAGGCTTAGGTTAAAGACTAAGGTTTGCAGCATTGAACGATAATTTAACCAGATTAGGAATAGGAAAATACTTGAAGCAAAATTGTGTCTTCTGTTTCAAATAGCAATTCTTTTGGGTGATTAGGTTTGTTTGTAAAGAAAGATGAATTGAATAGGATCTGATGTACTGTGTACAGGACTAATGCAGATTAGACGAAGTGAAGAAAATTCAATTTGATTGAATATATGTACTAACTACAATTTAAAAGGCAAGTTCTATAGTATGACTATTTGACCAACTTTGATTTAGGGTTTGACTTATGGGTCATTAAAGGACAGAGTGTTTATAAGGTAAATATACTGGAAATGAGGTAGTTAAGATGAACTTTGGGCTGCAAGAGAATAGTAAAATAGGAAACCAGAGAATTGCGCCAACAAGTGAATGTGGCTGCAATTAGGATAAATTAAGGGTAGGGTGATTACATTCTTGGATCTAAAAGTGTAAACCGAATGGCCTATATTTTTATTTTTTACATTGTTGACATATATACTTTTTAGTCAGATCAAATTGAGTTGCGAATAAGAATTCGAGTAGACAACTTTAATTTTGTTAGGAATAATAAAGTTAAAGGCTGTTGGGAATAATAAAGCTTAGTTTTTAGTTGTTTACACAGCCGACCCCATGTTTATTGAGAATAAAGCCTAACTGCTCTTTGTTTATCATGGGGTACTTTTACTTGGTACTGCATTCGAATGCATTTTACAATCATTGTCAGTAGTATATGGTGCAAGTTATGTTATATTTCATGTTGCAGGTTATGTTGACAGAATTTAAGAGTCTACCTCCATTATTTGAAGAAATGCCAAATGCCATCCAGGAACGGACGCTTGCTAGTAATAATAACCTCCTACTCAATCTGATATCTCATGTGGCAATCTTTATTAACTCTTTTTGAATTTTCTTTTTTCATTAGTAATATCTATACTCTAATAAATTACAGGGGACATATACGAGCATGCAGTCTTTCTAAGTGTAAAGATTGAGGATCAGGATGCTTTGGAGAGGGATTTTTTCCAACTGAAACCTTATTATACAGATACCTAGTAATTATCTCTCTTTAATTGGTATATTGATACTCCATAACGGATTCAATGTAAATTTTTGTAAAGTTCTTACGATGTCAGTTTTGGTGAATCATATTTTTGTTTAAAGACCATGCTTATGATCTTCCTTTCACTTGATTGAGCAGTGGTCTACAACCATCCTCTCAGGAGCATCCAATATTAGGTCTCAACCTTCTGAGACTCCTCGTGCAAAACAGAATTGCTGAATTTCACACTGAGTTGGAATTGCTTCCTTCTAGTGCTTTAGAGAACCCTTGTATCAAGCATGCAATTGAATTGGAACAATCCTTCATGGAAGGAGCTTATAACCGTGTGTTGAGTGCTAGACAGACTGTACCTCATGAAATTTATGTTTATTTCATGGACTTGCTGGCGAAGACAGTGAGGTAAAATATATGATAGTACCAAATCACACTACTTCATATATTATTTTCTTGGTAGATGGAATTGATTTAACACCATCATATATCAAACTCATCTTTTTATATTTAGCCTCTGTTTGGGGGGAATTTATAAAGGTTAATTTATAAATAGATAGAAATAAATGGTGGATAAGTAAATAGTATTTGTGAACTCGATGAAATATGTGATTGAAAATGAAATTTGACCATATATAAATGATTTATAAATCATTTAAAAAATTATCCAAATGAAGGCTTATGTTTTTTTTCTTGGAAAGAAGTGGAGAAGAGTTGTAAGAGGCTTCTTAAGTTGTTGATACTTAACATATGGCACAGGGACGTAATATCTTATTATGGACATTGGTTCTGTCCATTGTTGTTTCTTGTAAAGTTATAAATGACCACTAATAACCTCAATGGTTTTGTTCATAAATTCGACTTATACCAGCCTTACTTGCATTAGAGATATTGCTTGTGGATTGATTGTACGTTGATATCTGGTTTATTTTAACATTTGTTATTTTAGGGATGAGATTGCTGGATGCAGTGAAAAGGCTTATGACAGTCTTTCAATAAACGATGCTCGACAAATGCTGCTGTTTTCTTCTGACCTAGACTTGGTTAAATATATTGAGGAGGTAAGCTTCCTTGCACCTCATACCTTCCATAACCTTACTCATTCCCTCACTATCCTTTGCTTGTCAATGGAATATTCATACTAATTGTTTGTTTCGTAAATTTGTGGATAAAAAGTGGATAAAAGTTGTGGGTCCTAGGATTGTGTGGATAAAAATTATTTTTAATTGGCTTATAAGCTTGAAAAAGCTTTACCAAACATATAAATAAGGGTATTACCTTCCAACTTTGGTTCGGAGTTCTTGTCGCGCATTCATCTTCTTGTTGCTATAAAGGAAGCAATAGCGCTAATTGTATGCGATTGCAGGAACATCCGGAGTGGGAGATAAGGAAAGGTTTTGTGTTCTTCCAAAGAGCTAAAGAATCTGCACCTTGCAAGGAGATTCCTTCTCTGCAACTGATCAACCAGACACTCAGTTATGCAAGGGAGCTGGAACGGATTGTGTGAAGATTAGCTGCCCCCATCTTGTCCGTGCTTCTGTTTTGTATTTTCAAATTCTAGATGCTTAAACTGTTCTTTGGCGTGGAAGATTTTCATTCCTATTTGGAAAAGAATTGTTGAGGATGACAAATAGAATGTTGGCGGAATTTCTTTTCGTATTTTTAACCAATCAGAAAGATTTGCATTTTGCTTTTGTCAGTCAAGTACGACTGTCGTTGATGCCAATAGTAGTTACTGTTTTTGGTTGTATTCCAGAGGAAGTCAAACCTATTTCTATGTTTCTCATTTTAACATCTATGATTTCCAAAGTAACTTTTTCTTGAAGTAAGAAAGTAAATCCTAATTTAGCTTTACCTCATTAGATACACAAGTATCAAACAGTGTAATGTTTCATGAAACTCAGATTAGAAACCGGTCCTTGTGTTCTTTAAACAAGCTATGAGATGATATCATGGCAAAAAGATTTGGAGCTTAAGGGAGTTCCTTTTTATTTTTTAATCAAAGCTTAATGGATGTGTATTGTCAAGTTTTCGTGTTACGCAGCTCGACTAATGACATAAAAAACTACAACAGTATGTGAATGATTAAGGGCTTCAAGTTAGGTTTTCACCTTCAGACACGACTCAAAAGTAATGTAGTAAAATCAGCCTTTATCTCGTTATCCCCTACAGCGTGAAATTTGAAGGAACAACAATGAAGGTGTAGATAACCGACCATCCAATGTCGCCAGTGAATTTAAGGAGTGGAATCTATGATCTGATAGAATGAGAGGACTCTGACTTTGACATGTTCTCAGCATTGCGGCAATGTAACTTCTGATGCTATTGTAAGTAATTTTTCTCATTCAAAATCCTTTCAATAATGTCTCGCGTTCAAATTCCAAGATCAAAACTTGGGAAATCGTCCATTTCAATTGTATTGAAATCCTGCTTGGGCGGTACAACATCATAGATATCATCTGCAATACGACCATTTGTAGCGACAGTACCAACATGGGAAGCTCCTTCGTAGAATCTAGCCGCAGTTACTTGGTTATCTTCACATAGCTACACCAATGAGAAAGTTGTATTAAGATGAGACATTTCGCTTTTACTTTCTTACAGCACCAACCATTAAAGTCGTATTGCATGTCAAAAACCAAGAACTGCTAAAATCAAGTAGCATTATATTCAGACCTGTTGAGAGTTTCAAGAAATTACCTTGGCTTGTTGACTGGAGCAGAGACCAGGTATTACTGAAGGAACGATTTTAGTTGCATTCTCTGCACGGGTATAATATCATTGAAAGCTATGAAATAAACAGTCGGAAGTTGGCACTTCGCAGTGTATATACATATAACAAAGGTAAAACTTGCCTTCGTATGAAATTCGTTGAGGACGGCTTTCAATTTCCAAATTTTTATTTGATCTGTTGGGTGGCATTGATCCAAATGATGTTTGGCCCTCGATGTCCAGCACCAAAGCAGGCAATTCCTGTGACTCCACGGCTGGAGAAACTGACGTCGACTTAATGAAATCAGTGCCTTCTAAACTAAGGATGGGAGTTGAACAGTTTGTTGTTCCTGACCTGCCATAAATTGAAAAAAAAAAAAAAAAAACATTCTTAGCATTGTGTACTATTCTCAGCAGCACATGTGAAACAAAAATCTAATTACCAGTCTTGGCAACTAATACCACCACTGAATTTTGGGGAATTTTGAAAGGTCTGGAACTCGTGTGCGATTCACCAAAATTGAGACATTCTCATAATTCTGGACCTAGAAAGCCCATGACTAATTCTGATTTCCATTAAAAAAGAAGATGACTTGTTTGAGGGGCAAGTAGGAGGCTCCAAACTCATTGGTAAGGAAGGTTCAGTTATATGAGAACCGAGAAAGCTGTGTTTTGCATCAGGGGAACAAGGATGTTTACTTTTTAAGACCCGCAGACTACATAAATTCTGCCACAACCATTTTAGAGGATGTTTATAATCAAATGATGTAGTGGCGCCTAACAAAGCACAGCTGACATAAGAGAATCTCAAAATAAATATACTTGCTGCACTTAAAAAAATAATTTCTTTAGTGTCCAGCCTAAGACAATTGTATTCTAGCAGTCACTCTTATTTAGTAATGCACTAATGCATACCTGAGATGGGACCTGACTGTCCTAGTTTGAGATTCTCCTCTTTTGTCATCATCTCCCACTTTTTCAGAAACAATGGGAAGGTCTTCATTAACAGCTTCAGATTTAAAATTTTCAGCGCTACAATCATCAACTGAGATTGTTTTTCTATTCAATTCCTTTAGCACACTTCCATTGCATCCGTGTGCTTGTTCTTGTAACTGGTTCTTGATATTAGAATGAACGACATCTGAAGATTGTGACTCATCGATCTCCTCCATCAATGCTCTTTTCACTGCAACAATATTCTCCTGAGACGTGGATTTTCGGAGATTGGACAAGATTTCATGGGCTGCCATTAGAAAGACAAAACAAAATATTTGATCAGTTGCAGACCTGAGTAAGAGGTATACAAGAAAAACTACTAAAAATGGCCTAAAATGAAATTAAGCATTAATATTTGGATATAATAGACGGTGCATGAGCAATCATTTATTTGCATAGTCACTGATAACACAAATAGGGACCTGCAGAAGACCTATTTTTTTCTAATCCATCTATACATCAAGCAAGATGCCAAAGTAGATGACACAATTAATGCCATGAAAGACGATACAGGGGACGGCTTTAGACACTTAATAGGTGAAGAGCATTCATTCCTTTCTTGAGTGATCAGCAGAATACAAAATGAACCAGGATAACTCTACTGTTGTAATTTATGAAAACTCATATACTAGAGCAATGTGGTATCCACATAGACTTGGCAGGACTACAGAAACCGCAAGATCAACTAATATACAACGCAAGGGCATATTATTCAGTCATCTTTAACGTAGAAAACCTAGAGGCAAAGTTTTGAATTCGAAATTGCTGATAAAGTAACAGTTTTATTGCCCATCACTCAATTTGCAATGCACGTCTTGTGCAAATCACTTTCTCAGGAACTGACACATAGCATTGTTCTCAGACCTAAATCGAAAATATTCAAGGGAGGAGCCTTCCCATCTTGTCAATATTAGTTTCTGAAGTGCTAATATCTCCATTGTCACACAACAAAATCAGTCCTCGTGATGGACAATGAAATGCCTTGACCTCATTCCAAAATTTGGCATCTAAATCTCCTGAGAATTCTAGTTGACCTGCATTCCCTTAATTAAATGTGTTTATTTAGAGTTATTCAGAAAGTTCTCAATATATTTTGGGCAAGTAGGTAATTACTGCAGTAACACGAGGTCCAACTTATATGCATATTAATATCATATCATGGAGTGGTGCACTTGTAACTCTGAGCTTGAAAAAGAAACAGCTACATAAACCTTGGTCTACAGTGTGCTTATAAAATGAGGCCAAAATACTAATTCAAATGGTAGAAAATATCAAATAAGCATGGAATCGGACACAATGTTGAGATAGAAGATTAATAGAATAATTAGAATAAACACAATAACTAAATTTCCTAAAAAAAAACAACAAAAAGGTTTCCTCTCTGAACCTTTATATATTTGCTCTGGAAAAAATGATTTGGACCCTTATGGAAAAATACATTCACATCATAATGTTTCAGATAACATCTTACCAGCACGTCTAGGCTTATTTGCAGAGACTGTCCAACTTAATTTTGCATCATCAATCTTGGAGCTTCTATCATTTAAGACCATACATTTCCCTGGAAAAATCTTGTTTTGAGGTCTCCCTATGCATTCAACGCAAGGCATGCAGAATAAACAAGATATCAACAAAAATATCAAATAAAACAACTCAAAATACTAAGAAAGAATTCTGAAGATTCAGGTTCTAATTGGTCAGTAACAACACTTGAGTATAAAAGATTCTAAATTTTGATTGGTCAGTGTAACGATTTTATTGGAATTGCTTCTTCCGACAATTGGGAGAATTGTCAACAGATTAGATTACTGAGACTAAGACAAAGTACCAAGTATCATTAATTACCTATATTCTGTGATATTCGCATGCAAGGACAGAACGAAAGAAACATGAGCTTGGTAAAATAAAAACAAACTAAAAATTCGGGCTCTTTTAAGTTACAATGCTAAATATTGTTTACTATTAGAGATAACAGATTCAAAATCGTTATGTAAGACTCAAAAAAAACCTTTAAGCCTCCATTTGGGAAGAATTTATAAATAGATAGAAATGAGTGGTGCAGAAGTAGATAGTACTTGTGGATACACTAGAATATGTGGTTGAAAATAATATTTGATCATTTATAAATGATCTATAGATTTTTCTAAACGGATGCTAAATCATGAGACATAGTAATACCAGAATTTCAACTATCAGAGAAATATCCAGTTCAAAAGTTGATTTGATAGAGATTTAATGTAAATTTAAGGCAGTGATAACAAATTGCCATTCACAAAAACTTTGATCAAATTTTGATATGCATAGATCTGCAATCAGCATGGATCAAAACTCAAATGCTGGTATCATGGACGGAGAAAAAGAGTGTGTGGGAAAGGATAACAGCAGCTTCACATATTAAATGGGGTACTATGAAAGTAAATTCTCTTGGTGATTAGGCGAATACGGATGTGTTTTCTGACCTCCTGTGGGAGAAATAGAACCTGGTATTTTGAAAATCTAAAAAGGATAGAAGTAAAAAGTGTAAACATCATCTAACATGTACAAGAAAAGATATCTTATGGACCCGAGGATATGTGTAACAAAATATTAAATAATTCCCTAAATAAAATTAAACTAAAAATGGAACCCAAAACGATATTGAAGAAAAGAAAATCCCTACTATATAAATAGCAGAAAGAAAATAATATGCTTCATAAAAATGAAGATAAATTAGGAAAAGGGTAGATATACCAGCATGAAATTTGCCATTGGTAGGGCTCACTTGGTTATAAGTTGTCTCAGTTTTAACAACAGCTTCACAATTTATTCCTCGAAAAGCCAAGTCCTTTGGAGGCTTATTGTCTTTTTCAAGCTCTCCAATGTCTACTAAATGACAGTCAAATACTAATAATTCACCAGAACTGACTATTTCATCCCTTTTCAGAAACCTGTTATCCAAGAGTCTCCTGGTTGTGTCATACAGCATGACCTGAATATGATGAGCAACAGTGCGCATTGAGTGCACGACAATGATGTAGACTTGATAATATCTCCAATGTGTTAATTACAATAATCACTAAACGAAATGACAGGTTGATAGCTTGACAAGTTTAAAAATAAATATGCTGAGTCAGATATAAAACTTGAAACATTTACATTAAGATGTGTACATCCCATTGGCTTTAGAACGGACAATCCAGAAGGCCAGGATCCTTACATATTAGAACTATACTAAATGAAAATCGGAAACTTAATCTTTAGGTGAAAAAAGAAGAATGGGAAAAGGGAAGGGACACTTAATTAGCAGTGAGTTTTAAAATAAGAACAGGTTGCAGAAGTTCTATATTTCTTCAATCTCAACTTCACATTTGGTTGAAAGAGTTCAACTAAAAACAGTTAAATCATTCTGATTCAAAGACTACATAAAGTACTTGCAACAAAGTAGCAGTAAGATTCTCAAATGTTAAAATTTCTTTTTACTTTACCGTGTATCTAACTGTTTAAATGTCAGTATTTAATTGAGATCAAACAGCACATCATCACGTAACTCGGTACATATTCTGGCTTTCTACCCCTTCAATTATTTTATGCACTGTCTGTCTCTCTCCTAACTCCAATCCCCTCCCCCTCTTGAGACTGAAATTTCACCTTCCTTTGACTTGATACAGCTCAAAAGGAGTAAAAATTCAAAACATAAGCTCAGCTCCATATGTAATGTTTCATGAAAACACTTCGAATAGCTCATCTTACATGTACATGCTGATGTGAAAATTGAAACCTGTGCACAAAAAATTGAAGTGTAACACACAAGATGCCCCCAGTTGCAGATACATCTTCCAACTGGCATTCCTCATGCCATCTTGTTATATACGAGTATTGGTATTAGTGAACGTTTCACGATTCTATGACGTTCTCTGAAGATGAAAACCGATATTCTTTGATGGTTCTAGAGTGTTCTTGCTTCCTATTTCACTCGTCTTCCCTTTAGTTCTTTGTTTCCCCATTTCTGGATCTTTCTTGTTTTCCAACATGATGGGAAGAGTCTAAAGTTCTCTAAGGTAGTGTTTCTCCATTTCCATGCTAGTATAATCAACCAACTACAACACCTATATATATAAGTTCTGTGAAGTGTTTTGTGAATGAGAGAGAGAGAGAGAGAGCAAGGCCGGTGTTTTGTGAATATCTTGTGAACCCCCCAGAAAACCAGGAGCGTTTGGTATCGAACCTGTACTAAAATGATATTTTCTTCAACTTAATTTTCAGGGGAAAAGAAGAATGAGAAAAGGGAAGGAACTTCATTAGGATTGCTTTTTAAAATGGAAAATGGGTTGCAGAGACTAAATTACTTCGATGTCAACTTCCACCATTGGTTGGAAGCATTCATCAAAGGACAGTTAAATCATTCTGATGTAGAGACTATATGCTGCAGCAAGCTTCTCAAGTCTTAAATTCTTTCTATTTCAGTCTAACTGTTACAATGTCAATATTTAATTGAGTTCAAGAAGCGCATCTTCATATAACTTCGTATTTCTCCTGGCTTTCTACCTCTTCAACTATTTTAGGCATCATATTATTGACACGGTATGAAAAAACCCTCAAGAGGCCCGCCTCACTGTGAGGCTCATGTAGTATGCCTCGAGACGGTATTTTTTAGGCTAATCTTGAGAGGCGTGCGCCTTAATTGAATCTGCTGCACGCCTCTTGTACGCCTCAGACCGACCATTTTGACACATGTTACAGGTTTATGCCACGCATAGGATTGTGATGTATGGGAAGTTGCGACAGTAATTTTTTTTCCTTATTAGATTAAGTACTTGTTTTTTTCAACTATTAATATATTTTGGATTTTGCTTTTTTATTTTTTTTGTTAAAAAATATTCATGATCATTTACTGTTCATTGAAACCATTAGTTATATATTTTTATGTTGTTTTCTAATTTTTCAACTTAAGTTTTTTTGTTTATGGTGAAACTTACGCCTCAAAACGTTTTGAGGCTTACGCCTCGCCTCGTGACAAAAAAACGTTTCAGTACCCGTTTACGTTTTTTCAAACTATGATTATTGAAATCTGTCTGTCTGTCTGTCACAAAATCCAATCTCCTTCCCCTCTTAAAACTGAAATTTTAACTTTACTTTGACTTTTTATAGCTTGAAAGGAAAACAAATCTTAGCTCCATCCTGAATGTGTCAGAAAAAAGCTTTGAAAAGCTTATCTTACCTGTTGAATGTTGTGTGAAATTGAAATCTGTTTACAATCAAAGTTGACTCCTAACTCACAAGATGCTCATAGTCACAGATCACCTTCCTCTTGAAATTCCTCATACCATCTTGTTACATATGAGGACAAGATTCAATGAACTGTTCCTGAATTATATAGCATTCCCAAAGGTATCCATGCATATCACTTCAAATCTAAGTGGCCCAGTAAACTATTAAAATTTTGAAATGGAAAAGTAGAATTGGAGGAAGTTATACTTAGAAATACAAGAAGAGTAAGCTTTTAAAAGTACAGATACCACTTTAAGCACGAGTAAAGGTAAAGACATCATTGAGTTAGCGTTTTCAATGAAGCCAGCATTTAATTACACATTAAGAATATAGTGCCAGGTTATTGTTCTTTATTGCTCCTTTAAAATCTGAGAATAGCCATTTCATAATTGACTAAATAGTACAGAAACAGACTGTATAAATGAGTTGCAAGAAAAATATTCTGTTGGAATGTACCTGCCTCCCTTGTGATCCATGAACTACAAGCTTTAAAAATCCATCATGAAACTTCTTTGCCTTTTGATGAATTTGTGTAGTATACAAGACCTCCCACTCTAAGTTGAAAATTAGGAATGAGAAATTGTAAAATCTTCAGAAAGGAATGTCAGACTGAAGTTCATGACATTATACAAACATTTGATGAAAAACATCAAGAAAGAGGGATTCATTGTAATATAATTAGATGCATGATTCATTCCACAACTAACCTGTTGTGCTGGATTTCATCATATCTGAACAACTAGGTGAGAAACAATACTTGTTTGTTTCGCTCTTCTTGTACTCTGAAATGTCAGATATCTCATAAATATGCTATCAGACCATGCAGAATTTGCATATGTCAGCATTTAGCCTTTCTTCTTTAAGGATAACATATAGCAAGAAATGATAGGATTAAAGGAAGATGATAACTCATATAAGCGAATCCTTTATGCAAACAAGAAGCAGTATTGAAAAGGAGGATCTTAGCTGCTGGCTGCTGCCAACGCCACCACAACGCTGAGCCATCAAGAATTTATATGTGGTTTTGCCAGTGACCGAATGTGTGGAAGAAAAAGGGTACTCGCTTTAAAAACAAAGCATAATGGAGGTGGTTGAACAAACCTCTAATAATCTTTTGTGATGGGCTTAAATTAATCACTCTTGCTTTCTTCTTCCCACAGTTAGTCTTCATATCTTTGAAAGGAAACGTGTAATGATTAGACATGGAATGATAATGTGCATAACAAGAAAGATTGCTTCAACTTATTAAACAATCAAGTGGAAAATAAATACCAATAGAATTGGAGTTGTGTCCAAATTTATTGTGGTGTAATGATCCCAACTTCTCCAAAACCTTCTCATCTTTTTTTTGAAAACTTAAACCAGAAACAGGTTTATGATCTCCATATAGATCACCAATGTCAACAAGATGGGAAGCAAATGCCAATGTTTCACCAGATTCAATAACATCATCTTTCTTCACAAAACTACTTTCCAAGAGCTTCTCACATTCATCATAGAGCATGACCTGGTGATGATTAAACAAATTACTATAAAAGCATAAACACAAATACAGTTGAAACATAACCAATATCAATATTAATCAGACAATATTATCAAAAGTTCAATTTATTCAGGATATGATTTCACCAAACAAAAGCATGATGACTAGATAGATATATAATTGGAAAAGCTGGAAAAGCTTATATCAGACCTGAAGTATAATCCAAAAGGTAAACTGCACCATCTCCAAAAGCTTATCAAAAGAATGTGTACTCACCCAAATAACAAAGTTTTGATAACTGAACAAAAAATTGCAACTTATTACAAGTACATTCTCATAGTTACAGAGAGGAACTCATAATTGTACGCATTACAGTTTACAATTAAAAATAATAATAACACACTATCCTCCATCAATTTTTTACTCGATTTCAACAACTATTCAGCTTAATCAAAAGTGTAAATCATGAAATACAGAAATTAGCAACTCATCTGTTCTAATTAAAGCATAATTACACGAGATTGTATTATTCTAAACAGACAAAAAACCATCCACCTAAAACAAATACATGTATACACTTTATGGATGAAAAAGATTAAAACAGAAAGAAAAAGACCTTGCGGGCAGAGGATTGCAGTTCTAAGAAGCCATCGTGATACACTTTCCGCTTTTGCTTGACGTGCTTTGTGTACGTCGCGCTCCACCGCTTCATATCCTCCATCAAAAAATACGCATCATTTGAATGATTGAATCACCAATTTGTAAATCAGAGAAGGAGAAAGAAAGAGGGGGCGAGTCTGCGTTGAATTCTAGCGGCGGGAAAATAATGTGCAGTGTTGTTTAATTTTTTGTCAAATTCATTTTTAATAAGGCATTCTGTTGGACCTTTGAAATAATAAATTGAGGAAAATACGTAGTTAAAAATAATTGAAAAGTTTTTGGATTGCTTGTAATATTATTTTATTAAATTCTTGATTGACCTTATTTTCTAAAAATAATTTTCAATTACATAATTTATGAATATACAATTTTTAACAACTTTTCATCCTCACCATATGTCATTCTTTAGAATGACTCGAAATTTGTATGAAAATTTATAAATACTTTCACAGAAAATAAGGCAAGCAAATTCAAATACTCCCACTCAAATAACAATTTATTCAATTTAAGCATCAAAATGAATATTGACTTGGCAAGAAGAATTTGTTGATCAAAATTTTACCGTCAACAAATCCAAATAATTTCATTTACGAAATATTTGAAATATAATTTGATTTTGTGTATTATCGGACCGACCCATGTAGAATTAAAGAATAATGCTATTCAAAATAAAAATTATTCATAGCGGAATAGCGTTACTCTTAGATGGGGGTAAATCTTTAAATTACTCCAGAATTCTGCCCTGTATGACTTCACATTCCAACTTTTTATTGACTTTTCGATAATTTTGTGGAGAGTTCCGTGTTTTTATTAATTGAGGTTTCGTTTTAGTTTCATATATTACTGATTTAGTGAGTTTTTCATTTTAGGGTTTGTTTTCTTTACCATTTTCAAGTCATTTTCCTATTTTCGATTTTCCAAAAAAGTCAAAACGTGTTCTCTTTTCTATTTTCGAAAATGCGTTTTTGAAATCAAGTTTAAAATTTACAAAGTGTTTTCAGTTATAATTAAGTCAAAATTTTTAAAACGCGTTTTTGTGTTTTCAAAATAAATTTTCAAAATGGCAAAAAGAACACATACTCAACAATTTCAAAATGAACACTCAAAACACAAAATTAAAACACAAAGAGAACGGCCGGCCCCTTAGTTTCTGTAGTCAACTCTCTCCCGTATCTGAGGAAAAATCCAAGCTTTGTGAAAATTTTAAACAAGCCTTGGCTTCATGATAATGGTGTTTATTCAGTCTCATGTTTATCAATGATCGAGGGAAATAGCAAAGAAGAAATTTTTTACCATTTCTTAAACTTGGAATTTAAAACGAAACTTCATACTCCAAAACGGTGTTCAATTCAGTTCCCCTGTATTAGCAAACAAACTGTCGAAAAGTAAAGTTAAACCAGCATATTCTGTTTTAATTTCTTCCATTGCTGTGTTAAAATTAGAAAGACCAAAAAATTGGAAGTCAAAGGTTTGTCTGCCTGTTGTCACCTTGATGATTATTAACTTAATTGTCTGTACTGACAAACTGTATTTGAATTATACATTTATACTCTAGTTTTCCTGAAGTAGCACCGGCAAGTTATTGAAGATATGTTATTGCATTATTGAATCCAATGGACTGATGTGTACTTGCATTAATATTGGTTATTTGAATTGATGCAGTTAATCCTGATGCAATGACTCAAAGTTCACTGGGAAATGATGAAAGATGGAAACTGCCATCTCCATTAGTAGGACTTCTGCCAATTGATAAACCAGATGGAACTTGTATTATCAAGGAGAGGATGACGCAGGCTCTTCGGTATTCTAAGATTTGACTGAACAGCTCGTCTTAGCCCAGGTTTGGGCACCCGTGAAGACTGGTGGTCAGTATGTTTTGACGACTTCAGGGGCTGCCTTTGTTCTTGACCCAAATAGTAATGGGCTTCACCAGTATAGGCTGGTTTCTTTGATGTATAAGTTTTGTGGATGGAGACACTGATGTCCTTGGACTTCTGGGTCGTTTGTTTCGGCAAAGGTTGCCAGAATGGACCCCCAATGTCCAGTATTATTCCAGTAAAGAGTTTTCACGACTAAACCATGCTCTGCATTACAATGTCCAAGGAACCGTGGCTTTGCCTGTATTTGAGCCATCTGGTCAGTCTTGCGTTGGCATAGTTGAGCCTATAATGACTTCCCAGAAGATTAACTATGCTCCTGAGGTTGATAATGTTTGCAAGGCACTTGACTTGAGGTTGGTTATTTCCCCCTCCAATTCATTTTACTTCAGCCTCATTTGATATTCATCTATTAGCAGCACAATGCAGATCTACGTGTCTCCATCATAATTGTTTGCTTGTCTACTTATTTCTAAAATTCTTCTCGTTGCCAGTGAAATTGATTTGTACATGTGATATAAGGTGTTATCTTTTACATAGTTGATACATAGTTGTCAATTACATCAAGATATTATCTTCTTAATGCTTATGCATCAACTCTGCTAATGGTTGTCATGGATATCCCAGGCCACAACATTAATTTCACTTTAGTCAATATGGAAAACTTTTGATGCATTATTAGCCATAACTATTCTTTGAATTTCTTGTTATGGACAGTTAGAACTTTGACGAATGGATCCACTTTCTCAATTTAACTCACTATACTGTTATTTTAGGATTTTAATCACAACAATTTTATGCTTGCTTGAGACTAGTGTACTTTTAAAGATTTATTTCCTAATGGAGATTCATCTATAGATATGCATATGATTCTTTCCTTATTTTAACCTCCAAAAAAGGTTTTCTGCTGACCGTGAAATTATCTTTATTCCGCATAATTATCACTGCTGCAAGGGTGCTCGAACTTGGAGTAGCAACTCTGTGGTAGTCAAGTCTTTTCTTATGCTGCCGTGGTCTTGTTTGAGGATTTATTAGTTGCATAAATTCAATTTCTCTGCAGGCTGTAAATTTGAAAAGTTCTGAGATCTTGGATCATCAAAGCGTACAGGTAACTAGCAACTTAGTGAAGATCCTATCATTTTGAGTGAATTCTTTTTGCTGAAAAAATATATGTACTTGGCTATATCTCTTAAACCAGATATGCAATGAAGGTCGACAAAATGCACTGGCAGAAATCTTGGAAATAGTGATCGTGGTTTGTGTAACTCACACGTTACCTCTGGCTCAAACATGGGTTCCATCACTTCATGTAGGCATCGCAGCATCCTAGCAGATGGTGGGGGTTTTAAGAAAACTTGCAGTAGCTTCGATGGAAGCTGCATGGGACAGGTTTGTATGTCTACAACAGATGTAGCATTTTATGTAGAGGATGCTCACATTTGGGGTTTTCGTGATGCTTGTGTTGAGCATCACTTGCAAAAGGAGCAGGGTGTTATTGGGAGGGCATTTGCATCGCATAACTCATGTTTCTGCCCAGATATAACAGAATTTTGCAAAACAGAGTACCCATTGGTACATTATGCGCGAATGTTTGCGTTGAAAAGCAGCTTTGCTATTTGTCTACGGAGCGCACACACTGAAAATGATGACTCCATTCTAGAGTTTTGTCTGCCCCCGAACATCCATCATTTTGGATTCAATTTTCGAGACAATGAAACATCATTTTGGGAGCCTGAGAGTTGCTTAAGGGAAAGATTTAGAACACGAGCAATCCACTGAGTTTATTAAGGCATCCATGAGTGAAACTTATCTCAAGGCCAGAGTTAACTTCATTATCTCCTCCCGGGCGGCCGGGCCAGATCGCTTACCAAGCTGAGACACGGTTCATCCTAATTTGCTGGAACACCAGCCATTAATCCCAGTATTTGCTGCTCACAACGATAAAGGATGTGCTGCTAGTACTGCTGAAGTTCAAAATGCTGCATCTGCTGTGGAGAATAAGGACGCGTGCAAGAAACCAAAGAAAAGACCGGGCAAGGCAGAGAAAACAATTAGCTTAGAAGTTCTGCAGCAATATTTTTCTGGTAGTCTTAAGGATGCTGAAAAGAGTGTTGGTGGTAAGCTTGTGTAATACCTGTTGCTTTGCCATCTTTCTTTCCTTTTTTCTTTTTCTTCTCTTTCTTCTTCTTCCATTTTTTTGGCTTTGTTTGAGTTCCTCTCTGTTGTAGCAGGAGTAATTCGATGAAGTGCTTATCATCAAGGTTTTTTTATTTTTACAGTTTGTCCGACTACAATGAAGCGCATCTGCAGGCAGCATGGGATATCTCGATGGCCCTCTCGCAAGATAAACAAAATTAACCGTTCTATTTCAAAGCTAAAGAATGTAATTCAATCCGCACAAGGTGCCGAAGGAGGATTTAATTTGACTACTTTGGCTGAGAATTCAGTTCCTGTTGCTGTTGGTTCAATTTCTTGGCCACCAATTGCAAATAAAACAAATCTACAAACTTCACCTGGCACTGGACCGTCTGGAATTCAGCAAGATAAAAATGAAGTTCACATTTGCAAGGCACCTGGAGATGATGAACAGGCCGAGACATTAAATCATATTCCAAGAGGTAGGTTTTCAGGAACTGAGGATCTCATTCCTCAGGAAACTGGGCTTTTCCCAGGCGAAGGCTTAAACCCATCCAAAACTGGGAGTGGCTTAAGAGGAGAGCACAGGAACCTCCACTTCCCAAAGTTCATGTCGAGGTAGCCCTTGCCTTGGTAATGGTGTATACCCAGAAAATGATCCAGTTGTTTCCCTATTGATGAACACCGCATAGATGTAGAAGGATCATCAGAATTGCCATGTCAACAAATGGGAGAAATTAATTTATCAGCTGTGTTTCCAATCCGTAATGATTTTGTTATAGTTCCCCAAAAGCCCTTTGGAGGGGTCCTGATTGAGGACGCAGGGAGCTCGCATGATCTGAAAAATTTGTAGTGAATCTCTGTTTGATGAAGATGCCCCAGAAAACAGTTGGACAAGACCACCGTGTCCTCATGATGTACTGCCTAAATATTCCACAGATATACCTATTCACCCAATGCGCAATTTTCTGCCAGGTCAGAGGTGAAAACCATCACCATAAAAGCCACATACATAGACTATATAATCAGGTTTTGACTTTGTGTGGATTCTGGTATTATCAAGTTAAAGGAAGAAGTGGCTAAGAGGCTGAAGATAGAGTTGGGCACTATTGATATTAAGGATCTAGACGACGATCATGAGTGGGTACTAATAACTTGAAATGCAGACTTGCGGGAATGCATTGATATTTCGAGATCATCTAGTGGAAATATAATTACACTGTGTTCATGATATTACAGCCAATCTGGGGAGCTCATGAAAGAGCTCAGGCTAATGAGGAAAGGGTTAAGTGTATCTAAGCTATAGAAACATTCTTGCTCCGTTAGGATGATTCAGTTGTAGAATATTCTTGCTTCTTTAGGATAATTCAAGTGTAAATTTTGTTACTTTTGATTTTTCACAAATTTTTCTGTTGTAATTGTTCAATTGAGCCCTCAGTAAAAACGCAAAATATATCGTATTTTTTATTTATCTTGTGATATGAGTGTGGATCTATGATTATTAAAACCGGGGAAGGAGAACAGAATGAAGAACACTATAAGGAAGGAATAATTTCTCTTGTATTTAACTCATCAGATTACATGTATTTTTATACATAGGATGTACAACTGCAATCCTCTATTATAGGGGATAGCTACATAATTGAGATGATAACAATTTGAAATTGAAATATAGATAAGGAACAAACTCAATCCTAACAATAAGGAAACCAAATCAGTTCAACAAATCAGCCCTTTTTTGAAATCTTCAACACTCCCCCTCCCCTCAAGCTGTTATACAAATTAAACAATCCTAGCTTTTCCATCATTTTCTCAAGCACAAGCTTAAATAATCATTTCGTTACTACATCAGCAACTTGCTTGGATGAAGACACATAAATCATAGAGATTGTCCCATCTTCTATCTTTTTCTTTGAAGTGTCTATTTATCTCCACATGTTTTAGTCCTATCATGATGAACTCATGTGAGATTGCAATAGCAGCCTTGTTATCACAGTACACTTTCATGGGTACATTTTTCTTGATACTAAGTTCATTCAATAACAACTTTAGCCATATTATCTCACAAATTCCATGCGCCAATGCTTTAAATTCGGCTTCGACGCTGCTCAGCCACAACTGTTTGCTTTTTACTCCTCCAAGTAACAAGATTACCCCGAACAAAATAACAATATTCTGTTGTAGAACGTCTATCCATCACTGATCCTGCTCAATCTACATCGGTGAAAGTTTCATGGGAACATCAGCAGGTTTACTTCTTAACATACGTGTTTCTCCTGTGAGATCCAAAATATATTTCCTCTGTAAGACAGAAATACCACTCATGTTTCTAGCAATCTTCATTCCAAGAAAGTATCGTAAATGACCAAGGTCCTTTATCTCAAATTCGGTTGCAAGAGCTTTCTTCAATCTCTCCATCTGTTCATAATTATCACATGTTAGAACAATATCTTCTACATAAACTATTAGAATGTTAATTTTTCCTTCTAAGTACCTGTAGAACATAGTATGATTTGATTGTGCTTGTTTATATCCTTGTTAGCAAACAACTTTCATGAATCTCCCAAACCATGCTCGTAGAGATTGTTTTAGCCCATATAAGGATTTTTCAAGTTTACAGACTTTTCCTTAAGTTTTAGCTGCATCGAATCCTAAAGGTAATTCCATTACTTCTTCCTCCAAGTCAACATTTAAGAAAACATTTGTTACATCCAGTTGTTGAAGTTTCCAATCTAGGTACTAGAGACAAGAGAACCCTTACAGCATTCAATTTAGCACTGGAGCAAAGGTTTCTTGGTAATCTACTCCGTAAGTTTGAGAATATCATCTTGCTACTAATCTGGCTTTGCAGCGTTCTACCGAACCATCTAATTTGTACTTCACCATAAAAACTCATTTACACCCAACCATCGATTTCTCTTTCGGTTTCTCCACAATCTGCCATGTCTTATTTTTATTTAGAGCTGACATTTTTTCTTCGACTGATTTTCTCCATTTTGGAATAGACAAAGCTTTGGTTTTTCAATTGATGAAAGGTTTGTTGAGCTTTGTGGAGCCTAGTTTCGTTTTGATCAGGTTGACGATTCGACTCGAATAATGTTGTGTGGTTTTTAATGGGAGATTTTCTCAGGCTTAGTCCATGGAGCGGAAGCTTGGGCCGATAGGCCTAAGCCAGTGATCTCATGGACAAGCCTCCTGGGGGTCTGGGGGCAGCACCCCGAGGGAAATTTTTTTTGCCCGTTTTGTTGCCCAATGTGAATCCTGTACGCAGGATATAAAAACGTAGTTTTGGTTATTAGGGTTCTTGAATGATATAGAGAGAAAAACTATACGGCCGCAATTTGTATTTTTTCCCTAATAATAGTGAAATCTCTGCAACTCCGTGGACGTATGCAAATTGGCCAAATCACATAAATATCGTCTTGTGCGTGTGATTATGTTTCTTTGGCGTGCGTTTTCTCTATTTTTTGTTTCTCACAGGTTGGGAATTTCGGGTTGATTCCCTACAAGGTTGGTAGCAAGAGCTTGAACAGATTTGGATAAGTGGCTGTATCCAATGTAATTTGATATATGATGCTTTGTGCAAGATCTAACACTTTTCCTGAGAGCTATGGGAATATCCAAATCATTAGAATCAAACTTCGGGTTAGAGTGATTACTTGAATTCTGGACAAATCCGTGGCTCTGTTATTGGTCCATGAGATGTTCCACTATTTCAAAATTTGTTCTCCTTAAATAAACACGTAACTTTGGAGTTGTTGCAAGTTGTTTATCTCTCCTTGTCATCAAATTTTGCTGAGGTCGTAAAGAGGAATCAGTATATGGAAGTGAAGGAGGATTTGTTGATAAGGATTTGGATATGGAAACAGGAACCAAAAGAGTTTTCATCTCTCTCAGTTCTTTGGTGGGTAATTCTATTGTTGTGTCCCAGAAATTCCCGTCATTATCATGTTTGTCCCCCAAAGGTGAATTTTGGGAAAAATAAGGTTGACACTTAAAAAATGTAACATCTATAGAGGTGTAATATTTGTGAGTTTCTGTGGAATAACATTTGTAGATTTTTTGAGTAGGAGAGTAGCCTAAGAAGGCACACTCTAATGTCTAATGATGTAAGATGCATTACACAAATTATTACATTCAGCATTACAAAACTCGAGACTATTATTAGCACGCAAATATTTTACCATTTTACCTACTTGGTTCTCCACCTCGAATTTCCAATTTTTAAAATTCACGAAAGTTTCAGATTTATCTTTAAACATATAAATCCACAAGCATTTGGAGAAATCATCAATAATAGAAAAAAGAAATTATTACCACCAAAAGTGGGATTGCTTACCAAACCCTATAAATCAATATGAATGTATTCTAACACTCTAGATGTTTTGTGTGTGCTAGATATAAATGACATCCTACGATGCTTATCAAGTACACAATGATCGCATAATGCCATGTCAGTCACCTGATATTTACCAAACACACCTTTGTCGTTGAGAAACTAAAGTCCTTTAACAGTAAAGTGAAATAACCTGTTGTGCCACTTCTGTGTGTGATCAGTGTCCAAAATAGTGAAATTTAAACAACCCATCACCTCAGCATACGTGATGTAAATGTAAAAGGCTCTAAGTACTACCTTAAACATTTTTAAAACTCCATCACCAAGTGCTCCTGTGAAACTTGTATGCTCCAACTCTCCGATGAAAATTAGATTCCTACCCATATATGGAATGTACCTAATTTCCTTTATTGTGTGCACAAAGCTACCGTTAAACCTAACAGACACACTACCAACACCTGTAATCTTATATGCGACTCTGTCTCATAAAACTACATGTCCATGATCGGACTCGTGCAAATGATCAAACCACAATTTATTTAATATAATATGAAAAGAAGCACCAAAGTCAAGAATCTACTCATGCATGGGAGTTCATAGACATATTAATTTTAGCTAGTTCAGTATCTAAGGATTCATATCTTGGGAACAACTACATTTGCCTCACTAGGTTTACCGTCCTTTGATCTCTCAACTTGTTTTCCTCTTTAGGTTACTCATTTATGAAATGTCATAATTTCTTACAACCGTAACATTTTTTTCCCTTAACCTTTCTCTATGACTTAGATCTACCTCTCCACTTTTTCTTGCCACCACTATTTTGCCCCTCCATCCCTAAATTGAGTTCTACCTCTCATTTGGTGAATTTGTCTTGTTTTTCTCTCAACTTTCATTTCCTTCTCCTTAGCATTTAAGGAATTGATGACTATATTATACGTAATGGTCTCCCTCCCACATTTGATTGCATTCTTGACATCCTTATAATTATTAGGAATAGCATTCAAAAGAATCATAGCTTTATATTCATCAGAAACCTTTTCACCACTATTTGCAATATCTTTAACCAATTTGTTGAAAATGTCAAGATTGACATCTAAATATTTTGAGGGATCAATTTTGAAACTGAAAAAAACTTTCAAGTAAGAAAAGTTTATTGGACATGGATTGAGTCAAATAAAATTCCTCAAGCTTTTTCCAAATTTTTTCGACGGTTTCATGTTTGCAAACTTTTTCACAAAATAGTATCACATAAATGCAAAATAATAGAGGAGTAAGCAAGTTTGCCA